AAAAAAAAAAAAAATTGTATCTGGTCTCAACCATAGACCAGATACATGTAGGGGGTCCGGCGTTTTGGGAACGCCGGACCCCCCAAGAGCCAAAAATTCCGACCGGATTTTGGCAAAAAAAATCAGTTTTGATTTCGTTCAAAAAATATAATATGTCCGTTTTGACGAAATGGCTATTCACACACAAACACACACACACACACACACACGATGTTGGTGGAGGACTATTCCGTCTTAGGTAAGTTGTACTCTACCCTCCATGGCTTTATGAATGAATGGTTCCTGACCCTCTGATATGTACAATGCTTCACATGAAGGTGATAAATGGGGGTGTCGGAGGAGTTGACTACTGCGTGCCGGATTCATTCGATGTCAATGATTCGAATAAAAAATGGCACCCACTAGCCAACCCTCGTATGATGTCCGTGTACTGACTGGCAGCGTTGAACGACCGCATACTTCGAGCAGAGGGACACACATACAACATTAAACAAACCCTCACGGAGCTTGAAATCATCGTTTTGCCGTTCTACTTACAGACACATACACAAAAGCACAACCATCATGTCGATGCCAGCGGCGCAGGCAAGGACAACTCTTAAAGAGGTGATGCAATACGCGGAGGAGGACATCCACTACGATGACGACGGGGAACTCCGACTACTCACGGAGAGAGTGCCGAGTTACTTCGATGTCAGAGTGAACATTCGTGCAAGCATCGCTGCGAACGGAGAGGAGTCGCTCAGATCACGGATGCTATTTGCACGGTTCACTGAGGCGCATGATTTGCGTGTAGATAACACTGCTGATAGCAGTGCATACAGTTTGAGAAAAGTGGTTGGTTGGATGTGCACAAAAGGGATGTCCGATGAAGGCGACGTGGATATGACAAAGCAGCAGAAGGGTGGAACATACGTGCCAACCGATTTGAAGCAGACGCTGATGACACAGGCGAAGAAATGGGGAATGCTTGTTGAAGGTTCTAAGGACGAGATGAAGAGCGGTGCGGCAGAAATTTTAGTACTCTCGCGTTTGAAGGACATACCGCAAGCTCCCCCGCAAGACTTCCAAGAACTTCCAGTAATTATTGCAAACGAGGTGGAGTATGTTTTACTCGACCAACTGGTGGATTTCATGAAAAAAAAACCTGACGATCGGAATGTCATACATGAGGCATTGCATGATGTGACAGAGCAAGCACTGACGGGCAAGGACCTCATTACGTACAGGGTGCGGAGTGTGGACGATGATGTCGTATATGGTACTCCATTGTGGGATGAAATATTCATGGCAGTTTTGCATCGCCTCAGCATTGCGACTTCTGAGGTGGATAGAAATAGGTTAAGGAAAGAAGGATGGAAGTTGGTGGTCAGGGAAGCAGATGTTGCACTTCATGCAGCAGATGGACACGCCACGCTTCAGCAGGCGAAGAAATTGTGAGAACAACCTCCATCGTGCGTTCTCCAATAAACACAATATCGACGGAGGAGGTAGAAGAAGAAGACATGTTCAATGAGTGGACAATGACAGAACAACAACGGGAACGAGGGTTCGAAGACTCTTCTTTACCGATCGATTTCGAACATGAGATCGAAGAAACAAGAGTGATCAACAATGAAAAAGATGCGAGGGCGCCTGACAATGAGGTGAAAGTGAATGGCAACGATGTGAGCAGCGACGAGGAGGGTGAGGAATATGATGCCTACTGGGATATGGAAGCAGGGGGAGGACAAACGTCAAAAGGGTGGGCACATGCGATTCTAAGGTTGGCACGTGTATTCTCTAATCCCCATTTACTGTTGCGTGTCGTGCTGAAGAAAGCAACACCTGAGGGCGCACTCTTGTATGCAGCACTGACGACCATTATGAGATCATGCTCGAACGGAAAAAGATGGTAACGAATGGGGAAGTCATGGTTTGTCTTGGTCAACAGAGAGGCTGTCCTCGCAACATCATTTACGTGGGGCCTGGACCTTAGTTGCCTCCTGCACGGGGATGTAGCCAGCGGTTCTTGTGCTACATTGCACCCGACACTATCAACAGGAGAGGAAATACTTCGTGCTCACACATGGCTTGACTGCGCACCAGACACCATGGTGGACAGCGGTGATACAGATATTGGTAGTGGACAGCGTTGAATGCAACTGTTCGATGCACAGGCTATGCATATCATGATTAATTCTGCATTGTGCGGTCACGGAGTGTGTGCAATATTTCAGGTGTTCGAGTGCTCGACAAG